ACTACTTCTACAGTGGTGGGACAACAGTTCTAGGCAACAATAATGTGCAGCTTGACCAGAAAGTGATCAATCTGATCATGGCCAAAAAGCAAAGGTAATGTCCCCCATTTTGAGATCCACACACCATTTGCTCTGAGTTAAACTGCTGATCACCAATATATGAGTAGGGATTGACATAATCTGGGGTTGACATGGACCAATATATGAGTAGGGATACATTCCTAACCAGCACTGGATCTCATTGCTAAAGCATTGGTGCAGAGGTGAGATTCTACAGGTTTGCACCTATTCGCTAGAACCGGTTGTTAACATTCTAAGCAGTTCAGAGAACCGGCTGTTAGAAGAAATTACTGGCCTAATCCTGTAAGGAAGGCAGGAAGGAAACATTCTGGTGTTGCTTACAGAAACTGCCTCTCCGTTAACCCTTATTACATTCTTGGCAGGACTAGACTTCCTGTCTCAGGAATGTCTCTGGGTTTTTTTCCCCCTCCTTTGCTGGTACTTTGCTTGTGTGGAGTGACCATTCAAAGTTACAATGGCACTGAAAAAAGTGACTTATGACCATTTTTCACACTTACGACTGTTGCAGCATCCCCACAGTCATGAGAGGCCAGGCAAGGAGATGCATGCCTCGATGTGAGTGATGTTGAGTTGGCCATGCCCAGCCAGTCACATGCCCACCAAGCCATGCCCACCAACTAAACCATGCCCACAGAACTGGTTGTTAAAAAAATTGAATCCCACCCCTGCATTGGTGTTGAAATGCTTAAGCATTTATAGCATAAAGTAATGAAATCTTCTGCAAGTTTTTTCTCAAAAAGTCTCACAACTGGTACAACTGCTGCTATATTTAACTTCTAGGTATAAAAAAACTTCATCTGAGCTTCTTCACCAGTTGTCCCTAAATAATGAGAGAGTGCTGGTGTCTGTCAAAGAAAGGGCCTTGTTTGAGGAAATGCAACCTCCTCCAAAAAGCTCATTTGATGCTAACGTTATGAACTTTGGGGCAATAAATCAAGTCTTTGTCTTTATTTCTCAGGTATTTTGGAAACCATTTTGGTGTTAGAAATTAACTGTTTTCATGATTCTTTACTATGATTTTATACTTTTTAGCGGTTTCAATAGCTCGGTTGTACTGTTCCCTAAGAATGTTTTAATTCTGTTTTCTGATTTTTAAAAATATGTTAGTATTGCTTTTATATTTACTTTTTCATAACATGGATAGTACAAATACTGGCCTACAGGATGTAAGATTTCTTCCTAATCAGTTCTCAGATTGAGTGTCAGGGTGCCTTTTTAGGGGATAGCAGGTTGGGGACAAACGAACCTAACTTCTGGTTGTTCAATCACTACTCCCTCTGAAGTTGGTATGACCAAAGGGCATAACTTTTTTTTCCAACAACACCAGAGGATCAAACAACTCTAGAAGTAGCATAAGCTTTCAAACTTGATCCTTTACAATGCCAAGACATTGTCTCACAGATAAACAGAGTTGGAGCCTTGGAGATGTTGCTTTCCAATCATGGTCACTGGTTTTATTTTTAGCTCCAGCAACGTGCCAAAGATAGCTGTGTCAGTTCTCCATATTTAGTAACCGTGACCACAGCACACATTGGAGCAAGCTCAGGGTCGTGCCTCTGGTGTCTTTCCATATGTTAGGTAAGTTGCCCATCTATTAGCGAGTTCTAGTAATTAAAAAATAAATGTTCTCTTATTTATATTTTCTGAGAGAAGCAAAATCCTCTCTGGTAGTCTAATTTCTTAAGACATTTGTGAAAGACTAGCATGGCTTTAATAGTTTTATTGCTTTAGCAGTTTTCAGAAAGCACAATAAGTAGATTAAATGTGAAAGGCAAAGGGATATTATTGAGGTGAACTGTGATTCAGTTTAGATTGGTTGACTTTTACAAATAGAAGTATTAAAGTTAGGCTAATATAAAAAGCAGATTACAGAATTATGCAACCAAGAATGAAGCGCAGTTCCAGAGAAACATTCCTGGGAATATCTGTCACAACTTGGACTCACATCATGCTGTTGGAGCCAACATTCTAGCTCAGGAAATGAACACTGATTTGGAGTCTTTGGACTTGAATCCCTTCTCCGCCATGAAGATTATTGTGTGATTTGGTTAACCATCTATTTTTGTTCTGTATGGTAGGAATAGCCCCAAACAGCCCAGTGAGCAGATGTGCATCTAGTAACACTATGCATTGTGTTATTTCAGAGGGAGGGATGATGAAAATAATAAGACTAAGTGATACAGTAAGGTTTTTTTAAAGGGCTGGAATTCATAGAGATAGGGGAGATGTGTTTTAGAAGTAGCTGGTATCAGAAAAAATGTTTTTGGCCAGCACTGATTGGGGAGAACCTGTGTCTTCTGTGCTGGATAAACTTTTAAGCAGATGGTGCTGGTCACTATCAACTCTTGAGCTTAACTATTAAGGCTGCAATCCATTTGTGTTTTTCACTTTGTTAAGGACAATGAAAATACAAAGAACAGAAAATGGCATAGAGAGGAGAGTAGAGGAGGAAACAGCCCTGGGTCAGAGTTCTCCAGCTATTAATTTGCTATTGACAGGGCAACCGGACTTCCTGAGTCAAGGTCATTTCCATGCCCTGGACAAAGTTGGTTACTGATTAAAGGTATAATAGAGTTGATGTTAGCTCCGCACTGGCGATTTAAACCACAGCTTGAGATAGCCAGCATGCATTAAAAAAATTCCATTATGAAGCTAAATCCCCTTCCTGTTAGGCTGAGCTTCTTGAAAAAGCCTGCTTTTAGCAAAGCATCACCATTTCCTCTTTTTTCTTCTGTATTTTTTGGGGATAAGGCACTCTATTTGTCTTGTCTCCAGAGTGTGTGGGTGTTTTCGAAAATGTATTTGTCAGATTAAATGTGAAAACAAAGGTCATGCAGTAGTTTTACCAAAACCAGGTCTTAACTGTCACATAACAGTGAACAAGATTTTACAAAAACACTTATTCGGGATGGAATTTAAGGGCCATCCACAAGCAAAACCTAACAAATATGGGAGAGTGAGTTAAATATGATGAGATGATTTGTCATCTCATACAAAACAATAGGGCAGATCTGTGGCTTGCATAGTTGTGGCTAGGGGTGGGATTCTACCGATTCGGAGCGGTTCTATAGAACCGGTTGTTATGATTTCACACAGTTTGGAGAACTGGCAAATCATTCCCCTGGCTGGCACCCTCCCTCTCCGCCCTCCCCTCCATGCCCAGTCAGTCCTTATCGTGTATGCGCAACATCGCGCACATGCTTGACATCACTGACTGGGTTCTTCCCTGCCCGGTCACTCCTCAAGGTATTTTTTCCCCCTTCCAGCCATCAGTTGTTCCTATAATCAGCTGTGCCAGGATTTCCCTCGTCATCTTACTGCTTTGCCCAGGAGGCTTCCCTAAGGCCCCAAAAGCCAAAAAATGGAGGAGGGGGGGCGCACACCCTGCGCTCCATTTTTTTGCCTTCCTGGGCCCCAGGGAAACTTCCTGGGAGCAAAAATACCCCTCCAGGACCTTCCCTGAGGCCTAGTAGGCCCCAAAATGAAGGGTGGGGGGTGCTGCATGCCCCTTCCAGGCTCCATTTTTTTTCTTCCTGAGCCTCAGGGGAGACTTTTGGGGGCAAAAATGTCCCCTGGAGGCTTCCCTGAGGCCCAGAAGGCCCAAAAAACAGGGGGGGGGTATGCTGCAAAAAAAGCCATGCCCACCCAGTCACATGGCCATGCCTATCTAGCCACACCCACAGAACCAGTTGTTTAAAACTTTGAATCCCACCCCTGGTTGTGGCACTATCTTGAATTTTGACCCATTCCTCTTCCCTCCTGCAACACCCCTGAGCTAAAATTTTAAATCAAGTTTAACAAGGAAATCCTCCCTTCTTTCCCTCCATTCCCTTCCCTTCCCTTCCCTTCCTTTCCTCCAGACATTAATGTACCTGGCCAAAAGCTTTGCTGAATCAACCTTATTTGGAATAGTTAAGAAAAAAATAATTTAGAGTATGTGTGGGCATACCTGTAGTACCTACTAGCAACTCCATAAACACTTGCCTCCTTTCTGGTCTTGTAAAGGATTCCAAGAAGATTAATTTAAGGAGGTACTGGAAATTGTTATATGCATATCCACAAGTACCTGAATCATATTTCTCCCTTCAAATTGAAGCCACTGCACAACTTCAGCAGTTAGTGCCCAGGAAACCTCCAAATATCCAGGTTTAAAATGGACTGGGCAATTAAAAAAAAATAAAAAATAGGTAATGGCAAACCATTTCTAAACTTTTGCAAAAAAAACAACAACCAGTATAGACTTTACACATAGCAACTATATGTAGTAAGTCTTCATTCAAGTGATACTTTGCTTTAAGTATTTTCCCCATTTAAGTGTCTTCTAAGTTTCAACTTGTCATTCCCAGTCATTCCATAACTACATTATCTAGAGAAGTTCCTAGTTTTTCTTTTCAACTAGGCATAGGAGAAGTCACAGCATTTGTTTTCCAAATCAAATGATTTTTTTGCTTTTTGCCAATTATGGGACTATTTTTGCTATGCTACTCTTTTTCTTTTCATTGCAGAATGCTTTGTTCTGTTTAATCGTATCAAAGATTGCTGAGGCGTAATCAATGTTCAGGATTTGTAGCTCCGTTTCTGAGTGAAGTGAGATTTGAGCAATGGGATAAAAACCTTGCTCTGAGAAGGAGGTTTTAGACAAATTGATAGGAAGTGGAACAAAACAGTGTAAGCAATTTTGATTCTACCTCATAAGTTTCATTTCAACTTCACAGCAAATTATTTGTGGCAAATGTCAAATTGTTATCTGTCACTGTAAATTTTATTTTTTAAATGGCACCAATGAAATGAGACACATCACCATTTTTTCCTATTTCTCCTGCTGTCAAGTGACCATTTCAGAATGAGATTTCAGAACCGATCAATATCTCTGATACTAGTGAGACCAATCCCTGAATACTTTTCTTATTTCTCATCAGTATTGCACTTGGAAGGATCACTTCTTGTGTTTGAAGACATCTTCAAACTGGTGGCGTTCTACTGTGTCAGTAGGTAAGTTGGTTAGACATTTTCCACTCATGGTGCCATGTGACCTTGCAAATATGCTTGTGAAAATGACGAAACAGCCTACAAAAAAAAAGTCTTCAAGAGGCTGTTTGAGGTGGAATGAACAGCATGCTCCCTCAACCCACAAAAGTGGGAAGAGTAATAGAAAAACCTGCCTGTCTACCTGCATGGAATTCCTTGTTCCTGAGGCTGCCAACAAAATGCTTAAGTAAAAGGAATCCTATTTTCAAAGTATAAAGATGTCTGTCTGTCTGTCTACCTATCATCTATCTATCTACTAAAATCTTTCTTGTTATGACTTTCAACTGGGTAAAACAGTGCTTTATATGGCAACAACTTTTGAAGCAAAATACTTCCAATTGGCTAACTTACAGAAAATCCAGGGCCATGACTCCCAAGGAAGTCACACTTGTGGAATTTGTATCTGTTTCAGTGCTACTAGCTGCTGCTATGGTTACATGATCATCATTTTCAGTATTCTATTATAGTTTCCCAGCCAGTCTCGCAATCCTTCACTGAGCCATCCAGCAGCAACTTACCTACCTGCTAGAAAGGGGAAGGAGGGAAGGAGGGAGGGAAGGAAAGAAGGATTTCCAGTGTTCCTTGCCAGAAGCTCAACAAGGGAAGCCAACCAAGGAGTCAGAATTCACTCTCATTCCCACTGCTTATTCCAATATTTGAGGGGCTGCTGCAAAGAAGGGGGGCTCAACATATTCTCCAAAGCACCTGAAGATAGGACAAGAAGCAATGGATGGAAACCAATCAAGGAGAGAGCAAACCTTGAACCAAGGGGAAATTTCCTGACACTGAGAACAATTAATCAGTGGCTTGCCTTCAGAAGCTGTGGGGGCAGAAGTGGCATTCAGCAGGTTCTGATCAGTTCTGGAAAACCAGTAGCGGAAATTTTGAGTAATTTGGAGAACCGGCAAATTCCACCTCTGACTGGCCCCATCCCCATCTATTCTCTGCCTCCTGAGTCCCAGCTGATTGGCTGGATCTTCTTTTGTTGCCCTGCACAGGAGAACGGAGCTGGAAAGCAGGTTAGTGGGGTGGGGAAGGAATGGGATTTTGCAGTACCCTTCCCCTGCCATGCCACCAAGCCACGACCACCAAGCCATGCCATGCCCACAGGTAGTAAAAAAATTTGAATCCCACCACTTTGTGGGTGCTTCATCACTGGAGGTTTTTAAGAAGAGATTGGACAACCATTTGTCCAGGATGGTATAGAGTCTCTCTATGTGCAGGGGGTTGGACTAGAAGACCTCTAAAGTTCTTTCCAACTCTTTGTTATTTTGTTCTGCTTTTTTTTTTTTTTTGGCTTTCCTTTGGTAATTCTTTTTCTCTGTTTAGATAAGGAAATATCTCTGAAACAATGGCTCAATGGGACATGAATTGTCTAGTAGTCTAAAACATCACAGCAGGTATAATTTCTACAGGAAAACAGAATAAGAAAATTCAACTTGTAGAATGTTATCTCAAGCTATGGATGGAGCAGTGTAGGGAATTACATTTAGTAATGTTTTCTTGGTTAACTTAATTTTTAAAAAAGCCTAACCAAACAAATCAGACAAATTTGGGACGACATCTTTTTATTCATAAGAATTATTTTATTTGAAGGAGCATTTAGAATGGGCACCCTCTATCTGCAATCAATAATGTGAATCCAGCCGATTATATTCCATCTGCTCAGAGCAATTCTGCATGCAGAACAGATCTTTCTTTATATAAAAAAAGTCCTTTTGTACCTTCTTTGATCTTCCCCATCACCTGCTTCGCATTATAATTACATACATCTTGAATACATGACGGGCTACAAAGAACCAGAAGGGAAAAAGAGTTTGGCACTATCCAAAGTTACCGTATGCTTTGAGACAATCTTGTTATGAAACTATTATGTCTCAAGTCTTTTTTCACTCAACATTATTAGGGAAACATAAGCAAGAGATATTTTAAGGGGCCAAAGCCAAACCTATTATTGTGTGAGCGAAAGAAACAAGATGGTCACCTCAAGCAAAAGACTCTGAGAGGCAGCATTAAAGTAGTAGGAGAAAAGAGCTACCTTCTTCAAATGTTCTGGTGATGTTTTGGCAATTCACATGTTACTGAAGAACTAATTATTTGAACACCGAGTTCACTTTTGTAAATCGAATTGGAGGGAGCATGAACAAGTTCCTCATAATACTATAGTATAATTAGATGGGAAACTCATTTGATTTGTTCATGGAGATAATTCAAATAAAACAGAATAACAGAGTTAGAAGGGACCTTGGAGGTCTTCTAGTCCAACCCTCTCCTCAGGCAGGAAACCCTATATCATTTTAGATGAATGTTTGTCCAATCTCTTCTTAAAAACCTCCGGTGTTGGAGCATTCACAACTTCTGGAGGCAAGTTGCCCCACTGATTAATTGTTGTAACTAATTTCTCCTTAGTTCTCTCCTTGATTAGTTTCCATCCATTGCTTCTTGTCCTGCCTTCAGGTGCTTTGGAAAATATGTTGACTTCCTCTTCTTTGTGGGAGCCCCTTAGATATTGGAACACTGCTGTCATATCACCCCTAATCCTTCTTTGGCCAAACATGATTAAACATTAATATGACTGTCACTGACCCTGGTCCTAAACACTGTCCATTTTTGCATAGCAGAAAAGGATCTCTTATTTCAGGAACCACAAAATGATTGTTACCTAACAATTTTATTTTATATATCCATCAGTAGGGGGGAGACCCCATCTTTTATTTAATTTTTTTTTTAATCAGTAAAATGTTGCATATAATTAAGTGACTGCTGGCTGTAAGTAATCCAATTATCCTAAATAGTCCTGTGAAAGCTTGTGGTAAGTAAGAGTACCTTCGATGTGATCACTTGCTCAAGAACATTTAATGTGGAAGACTTAGACTAATGTTAAACAAGTATCAGCAAAATGGAAAGGGTGGGCGGATAGCAGTGGTGAGCTCATCTCTTAACCTTTTTTAGGATTTCCAAGGCAAGCAGTTTGTTTAACCCTTGTCTAGTCGTTTGACAAAACAACTTCCTTTAATATAGAGAAGCTCTAGCCAAGCTCTATCGGCATATATTAAATGAAACTTGCTGTTCCAAGCTGATTTTTTTTAAAGAATGACCTCAGTCTGGGAATAAGAACAAAGAATCTTCATCAATGGTTTCAGGATATTTTGCTGCATGGCCCTTTATAATAGCTAATCTTGTATCCCTAATCTCCTGAAAGGACATGTATACATAGGCATTAATAGGTTGGAACACAGAGAAGGCCAGAATTTCACACAATTTGGAAATATGATAGGTCCCAAGAAGCATCTTATAAATGTGTATGTTGTACTACCATTCGTCCGGTGGCTAAGACCTCTATGGCTGCATCTTGTGACATTTTAAGTGCGATAACTTTCTAGCGTGAATAGCAGGTTGACAAATAAGCTGGACACCCCCTCTGTGGATATAGATAGGTGATCAATGATAGCACCAGTCAGTTAATCAATTTATTTATTGTTTTAAAACAGCATCAGTCAATCTGTACTCTTTAGCTATACTGAATGAGAACTTTGGCAGTTGCAGCCCTATTACACCTGGATTGCAGTTGACCTGATTTAATTACAGTCAGTGATGTCTTATGAAGAGTGTGTCCTTCAGAAGTCTTCCTCATTAATGCCTTTATAGTGTTACCCAATCATCCAGAGCCTGTCCTCATTGCTATGATATCCGCACAATAGTGGGTGGATAACTCTAGAAGACATTATGACCATTTTATCATTATGTTCTTTCAGTTTCACCAACCATTCTTGTATATTATATTATATTAT